CCTCCTTATCATCCACATCCTTTTCTGACCCTTTTGTTTTCCTTTCTTCCAATAGTTGCTCATCTGCTGAAGCCAAGGGCTGAAATTTGTTGCTCAATAGAATAAGCTCATTATAACTAAATTCACTACTTTTAGCCCTAATAGTGTTCTTTCTAACTTCCTGAAAATCATTGTTAGCTGATGTATCCCTTGCACGTAAAAACCTAAGCTCCTCCTAAAATCTTGCTGCCATTTCCCACAGTCTATACTTCTCTTTATTGCTTCTATTTTAATTTTGATTGCCTCCAACCTACAAACTATACATAAAAATTGCATATCTTCATTAGTAACTTCCTGAAAAGTACATGCCAGTCCCAAGTTCCCAAATAAAATCCAATTACTGCACCCATTATATATCACAAACTGTGAACACATAACTCCTACACTAGTCTTAACTATTGTATTTTTACTTATAGCCTGAAAATATATACTCAATACCAAATACCAATAGCCTATTGTTAACAATGTTAATGTTAAGCTTAACGTTTAAGAACCAGTTATATTATTTTTCTCACTACTTTATCCTCACACTAAAGTTATAATGTTTATCTTTAATTATACATAACTTAATAATTTATTAGTACAGTGTACGTAACGTTAATAATAAAATGTATTTAACCTGATTTATCTTATTATCTACCTATGTCTATAAGTTGAATTTAAACTAATGGATCTAAGTTCAAGTAAACAAGTTAATTCTTAAAACACCAAGAGACGATAAAGTAGTTTTTAGATTGCATTTATTTAATAAAATAATATATTTATCATGTTTTATAATTTACCAGCAAGTTTAAATATACCTAAACCTAAAGTATTGTTATATGTACTAAGCCTATTTTAATGTTGTAGTAATGTACACCACTAAACTCTTAAGTTAAAACATTGACCATCTTATTTACGTATCTTACTATATCTAGTTATTATTGTTACTTAATCCAAATGACTACAAATTATGATAACAATATTAAATAACTTTCAGAAATCTATAAGAGCTTAATTTTTCAATGTTCCCCTCTTCAATCCAAAGGTTTACCTTACCAGAGTTTAAATATATATATATATATATGTGTGCAATGTTAGGTATTTTTAAATAGGAAAAAATAAAATTGTTTTTCAGCACAAGTTTGAAATGTTATACTGTATGCTTAGGTAAAAAGTAGATGACACGTTTGTGGAGGGTGGCCTGTAGTAAACTTTTATGTTTTAGAAATCTGTTGCATATATGAGGTTTGATTTAGTTCTGTTTTGGGGCCAAAATAAGGCATTTCACACAAACTATAGACCAAAACAAAATCTAAATTGTTTGCAAGTTCTCTTTTTTTTTTCATTTATAATTTAGAGTTGGAAAAAGAAATGTGACAAATGTGGCATTACTTCTAGCATCAGGATTTCACACCCTTCATGCTTCATTGAAGAAAATTCTGTGTAGAACCTGAGATCTTTTAATTTCTGTAAATAACTCGTATGAAATGATTAATAGTGTTATATTAAAATTTTAATTTTTTTTTGCATAACATGAATAATTGTAGTTTTTATTCTGTAGAATCATTATTTGTATATTTATTAAATGTTAGCAAATTACTTTCATACTCTATTTCTGTCATAGGACTCTGGATTTTATTGCATATTAGGTTCATTTACTAAAGTACAATTGCAGGTGTGGACTACTTTCTTGATAAGATTATACATGCACTAGTCCACTACTATCTGGAGAGGATTATACTTGCAGGTATGGACTTTTCCAGATAGTATTATACCTGCAGGTGTGGACTGCTTTCAGTACTTTCAATATAGAATTATACCTCTTTCTATATAGGATTATACCTAAAAGTATGGACAACTTTTTAAATAGGATTATAGTTGTAGGTGTGGACTACTTTCTATATAGGATTATACTTGCAGGTGTGGACAACTTCCCAGATAGGATTATACCTGCAAATATGGATGACTTTCTAGATAAAATATTCCTGCAGGTGTGGACTACATTTTAGATAGGATTATACATGCAGGTGTGGGCTACTTTCAAGATAGGATTATACCTGTAGGTTTGGTCAACTTCTTAAATAGGATTATACCTGTAGGTATGGTCAACTTCTTAAATAGGATTATAGTTGTAGGTATGGACTACTTTTTAAATATGATTATAGTTGTAGGTATGGACTACTTTCAATATATGATTATACATGTAGGTATGGACCATTTTCTAGACATAATTACACTTGCAGGTATGGACAACTTTCCAAACAGGACAACTTTTCATATAAGACTATATATATGCAGGTGTGGACTACAGTTGATACTGTATTGTATCTGCAGGTATGGACAACATTCCAGATAGGATTATACCTGCAGGTGTGGGCTACTTTCTAAATAGGATTATACCTTCTGGTGTGGACAATGTTCTAGATAGGATTATACCTGTAGGTGTACACTTTTGTTTTTGTAGGATTATATGTGCTTGCTCTCAGGTTGATTTTCACTATTATCAGTGTTATTTACTGGTTTTGGTACACAAGTTATATTGGAAGAAAATTTGCATTTGTATTAACTTTTCATCCAGTTGTGATCTAAATTTGTGGCCTAAATATTCAAGGCATAAACCTCATTCAGTATGTTAGATATACAGGCTCTTGTCATGTTGAGCTTGTAAAACTTCTAGCAGTACAAATTTATTGTAAACAGTGTTTTTTCGTTATATGTATAATCCTAGGGATCAACTGATAGCAGTAAAGGAGCAGGTGATATCCAGTCAGGAATCGAACCTTCACAAGCCTTGCAAGCTGAATCTGTGATTACTGTGTATGAGTTTGAGCTTCCTCAAGATCTTTGTGGGCGTTTAATTGGCCGTCAGGGAAAGCATGTCAATTATATCAAGCACCGTTCAAATACGAAAATTTCCATAAAAAGACATCCCTTCAATCCACATTTAAAGCTGTGTGCAGTGGAAGGTGAGAAACTTGTGTTATTAGATATGTATAAAGCTAAGCTAATTATTCAATCTAGTGGCTCTCACTGTTTAATAAATTTTCTTCCCTCAAGGTAAAGTTTCTTAAATTAGAAAATATATTCCTTTGTTGGGGAACCAAAAATATTGTTAACAGCAAGAGTACCCAATGATGATCAGTTTACCTTCCTTGACAGAAATACAGTGCCTTGCAAAAGTATTCACACCCTGCAAAGTTGCCACATTTTGTTGCCAACCCGAGCTTGCAGTCATGAAACTTTCAAATGTAACTTTATATTTAGAATCTACATAATCTACTCCAAACTGAGAAAGCTAAAAAACATTGATATAATGTTTGTAAGTTAGATTTTCAAAGAAAATTTGAATATTCTTAATTGCACAAGTATTCAACCCTTTTGCTATGACAACCCTAAATCAGTTCAAGTGCAAAAGATAAGTTTGAAATGTCACAAAATTAGTGTAATTGCTATCTGTGTGTAATCAAAGTGGTTTAACTTGTCTTGAGAGTAAATGCATCTGTTCAAGCCACAACTCACATAGTGGTAGAAGAAACCAACCATGAAGACTAAGGAGCTTTCCAAACAAGTTGGGAATAAAGTGGTAGAGAAGCACTGATCAGAAGAAAGTTACAAGGAAATTTCAAAGTCACTGATTATCTCTTTGAGTACACTGAAGTCCATCATTAAAAAGTGGAATGTGCTTCATACCATCCAGTCACTACCCGTATCAGGCTGCCCTTCCAAACTAAGCAGCCAAGCAAGCAGGAAACTGATTAGGGATGCCACTGTGAAACAAACAGTGACTTTGAAAGATTTGCAAAGTTCTATGTCTGAGATGAGAGTTAGTGTTCATACTCAACAATATCCTGGTCCCTACACAAAGCTGACCTGTACACGCGAGTAGCAAGAAAAAAGCCATTACTGAAAAATAATCATCTTAAATCTCATATAGAGTTTGAGACCAAGCATATAAATGATTCTGCAGACATGTGGCAGAAGGTTTTGTGGTCTGACGAGGCAAAAATTGAGCTTTTTTGGTCTAAATTCAAAGCATTACGTCTGGCACAAGCCAAACACAGCACATTACCCAGTTAACACCATCCCAACTGTCAAGCATGGTGGTGGCAATTTTATGGGGATGCTTCTTATCAGCAGGGACTAAAAAGCTGGTCAGGATTGAAGAGAAGGTGGATGATGCAAAGTACAGGTGAATCTAGACGAAACCTACTTGATTCAGTCAAGAATCTAAAATTGTCTAGAAAATTTCAGCAGGACAGTGACTCGAAGCACAAGGACAAAGCCACATTGGGGTGGTTTCAAAAGAAGGAAATGAATGTCCTGGAGTGGCCCAGTCAAAGTCCTGACTTAAATCCAATAGAAAATTTATCACAGGACTTGAAGATTGTAGTCCATCAATGATCCCCAACAAACTTGTCAGAATTGGAGCAATTTTGCCAGGAAGAATGGGTAAAAATTACACCATTCCATTGTGCAAAGTTGATAGAGACCTATCCAAAATGACTCATAGCAGTAAATTCTGCCAAAAGTGCTTCCACCAAGTACTGACTTAGGGGTCTGAATCAGCAACTTTCAATTTATATGTTTTCTTTGCAGGTTTTGCTGATATTCAACCTCCTTCACACATAACAATGTTAAGTTTGATCATTAGTTTTGAATAAAAACAAGGTCATTAAAAAAAAATGTTTATATTATTTGTATTTCATCGAAATGTATCATTATTAATAGGGAGTGAATACTTTTGAAAGGCACTGTATCCATGTAGCAAATATGAAACTTTTGGGCAGTTGTAAATTAGAAAGCTATGCAAGCTGTTCCATATCAATTTTATATACATTTTCTCTTATTATTATTCTTTATATGTATTTATACGTTGTGTATATTTGAAGTCATCCATAAGTTATTATGATGTGCAAATTATGCATGTTAGATTATATAGTGTCACTTCCCCTCATGTGACTCAAGAAGATTTTGTAAGCTCCTTTGTGGTTTTTTATGTGGAAATCTTTTAGTAATAATAGAAGCATGGTTCAACTTTTATTAACAGGGGAAGATGCTCCCATGATTTCTGATGGAAGAAGAGAATGATGCTTGATTTTTAAGTTGTGCTGGGATGAGAAATTTGTTTTGTTGAAAGTTTAAAATAATCTTGAATCTATTTTTTTTTAAGTTTACAGGTACAATAGTATCTTAGAAGAAAATATTCATCTAGTTTAAAACTATTCTTTTCCCCTTTTTTGTTTAAATAAATAAATTGTAAATTCACCTTTTTCACACATGCTTGCTGAAAAGGATAAAAAAGCTTTATTCAAACTGTATTACCTCCTAAGTTCAAAGGCTATTATTTTCATGCTTGGAATGATATATCATAAGAAACTTATTTTCTCAAATACTCACAAACAATGAAAAACCTTTGCATTAAATTTTAAATATTACTGCATAAATTTGAAATGTTTGAAGTGCATAACACTGTTGTAATACTGAGGTTTATCTTTGTTTACAAATGTCTTTCAGGTACAGAAACTGACATAAAAACTGCACTGCGTCTAATCAGAAAAAAGTTTCCTGTGAACTGCTATCCTGCTGTCACCCTTGTTCAAGTAAATGTTCCTCTTACATGTGGTATTCCTGTGCCAGAAACATTGCAGGTGAAGTAACATTTTTTAATTGCAGGTTATGCTACTTGTTGTAAGTAATATTTACTTAATTTATTTATCCTATTATCTAGTTTGTTTTAATTAATGTTTTAAAATATAGTATAGTTCACACAAATCAGCGTGGGCTTGTTCATTGCATAAAATATTTTAAGAAGTGATTACAATAATGCATAAACTTGTGGCATCATAAGTATATAAACATTAGTGATGCCAACAATGTCTAGATGTGCATAGTGTTGTAATAAGATTTCTTCCAGCTTCTTTTAAGTATAATTTTTAGTTTATGCATATGGTGACATAGAATATATTGTTTATTTCACGCAAATAAATCTTGAATTGATGGTGAAAAAATACCTTTTTTTAATGTTTGTAATAAAGCAAAAACTTGTATTATAATATGAATGCAAAAATATAAATTCCGATATGGCACTCGCCTCATCTCACATCTCTATATATGAACATTTTCGTTATGCATGCAACAAGCCTTGTGCTCCCTCCTTGTTGGAATTAGTACATTCCAATGTGTCTCTCATGCAAATCATCATGCATCATCTATTAACCGATAGTAGCAAAGTATGCTCACATGACGCATCTGACTCCCTCTGCACTCTTCTACCTAACCTTCACTTCTTGTTTGCAGCTTTTGAAGTGGTTCCATTTTTTTTTGGTTATACATTACCACATTTTTCCCAGTTTATTATTGTTGCTCTTCTGCACTAGTCAATTTTGTGCAGTTTTTGTGAGTTATGAATTCCGAAGTCAACGTTATCACTTCAGGGGTCGCAACAACGACCAATTTTCTATGTCAAGCCTTGGGTGCAGGTGAACCGATTGTGGATTTTTCTGATTTTGTCCGTTGAAGATTGAATGTCCACTGACGTTGCCCGAGATCTTTCATATTTTAGCATTGTTCAGCATGATGACAATTTTGATTGTCCTTTTCCTCCTCCCGAGTTTACTGTTCCTACCCAGTTCCAGCCTGAAGATTCATCTAGGCTTTCCTCGGCTTTCACAGATTTCGTATCTCAGGTTTGTGATGTTTTGTATCTTTCTCCTATTTGTTATTACCCTCATCCTTCTTTGTTGCATGAGCATTCTTCTGAACTATTTTTGGTATTTCCTCCCTCTCCTTATATTCGGATCCATGCAGATCACTATCTCTCCCAGTTAGGTGAAGGGGTTAGTATGCCACACCCCAAGAGCCTCTGATCAGTACACCTTTGCTTACCATCAGGCAAAATATCCATATTTGGATCACCAGTAGTTGGGTTCCTTATTACCCCTTTGGAGGGGAGGTCCTGAATCTCTTGTTAGTCTCACACATGCCCAATATTCTCGCCTTTGTCTTACCCTTACTACCCTTCTCTGCTATCTTTCTTCTATACATTTCCTCTTGGAGGCTCTTCACAGAAATCACGAGGGATGTTCTGCCGATACCCTTCACCTTCTATCTTCCACTTTGGCTTGTATTTCTTCCTTAGCTCTGTCGTTACATACGTGGTTTCTTTGTTGTTGGGACCTTATCGGTAGGGGCTCCATTCTGCCTCATGTTAATTTACCCTCCACTTATCTCAGGGATTTCTGTCTTGCTCCTTTTCTTTGACATTATGTCTTTGACACTCTCCCTGACGATATTGAGCCATGCATAACATCCACCCGACAACAGTCCACCCTTTCAACTTTTGTGGCCTGTTTGTCTCGACCAGAGCCTTCCATGCCAACTATTCCAATTTCCCATCCTTCGTCCTCCCATCCTTTACTCGTTCCTTCAAATCTGGGAACTTTTTTCATCAAAGTCATCGCCAATGTATCATCTGTCGTCAACTGTACCGGTGACTACCGGTATTGGGGGCTATGGAAGCTCATTTGTTGGATTTTCTTCCTTGCTGGCTCCCCTTTGTTGAGGATCAATGGGTGACAAAGGTTCATTCAGAGGGACTCGTCACGTATCTATCCCCACATCTTGTTTCTGCTCACCCTGTTTCCTTTCTTTCTCCTCCAGATCCCGTGACTCTCCAGCATTTGTTTGAGGCAGTTTAGGATTTGCTTTCGCAGTGGGCTATCGAACTGGTTCACCATCCCTTGTAGGGGTTTTACTCCCATCTTTTTGAGGTCCCCAAGAAAACTGGGGATTGGTGACCAGTCATTGATTTATCGTGCCTCAATTGCTCCATCTCGCTCCCAAAGTTCACTGTGGATTCCTTTCTCACCCTGAGATGGACGTTTTCCCTGGGATTGTGGTTGACACAAATGGATGTCTCCAATGCCTATCTCCATATCCCAGTAGTCCTTCAGTCCTATCTCTATCTTCACTTTGTTCATCTTAACATGGTTTACCAATTTCGGGTTCTCTCTTTTGGACCTGTTTTGGCTCCATATGTGTTTTTTCACATCATTAGGGCCTTTGCTTGTTATATTCATACTTTTGGGTTGTGGTTTCATCATTACATGGATGACTGGCTACTTCTAGCTCATTCTGAGCAGGAGTCGACCAATCATACTCACCTACTCCTTTCTGTAGCAACTCCTGTGGGCTGGTTGATAAAATTGGAGAAGTCAGTCCCTCGACTCACCCATTACTTAGTGCATTTGGGGGGTCTTCTTCGATAATAACATCAGTCAAGCTCTCCCTTCTCCTTTATGCCTTAGTTCTGTGGAACTTTTAGTTCATTGTGCCCTCTCAGTTCTATTGTTTTTGGGGATGTGGTCTTGCATGATCATTGGACCCCCTCGGTTGTGCCCATATGAGATACTTGCACTGGACACTTCACGAATAATGGAACCTTGCATGGGATTCTCTTTGCACCACCACTTCCTTTGCTCCTTCCCTGAGAATTGCTCTGCTGCAGTGGCTTGAAAAAGTCCATATGTTGGTGGGTTTGCCACTTCCTGCCCCCCATGTCTGGATGTCCATCTGTTCATGGACACTTCTTTTCAGGGATGGTGTGTGTGGGGGGGGGGCTTGGATAATTCACCATGAAGCTTTGGGCTGTTGGCCTGCAGATGCATTCATCTTATATATCAATGTTCTCGAACTTCTGGCATTTTGTTGGGCATTATCCCACTTCCTTTTTCTTGCCTGTCACCATCTTGCAATGGTTCATTCCCACAACTCTACGGTGGTGGCTCATATCAACCACCAAGGGGCATCTGTCCAGAGATTTTTGTTTCTGGACTTGGATCTTCTATACTGGGCCCAGCCACATCAGATTCGTCTTTTCGTATGTGATGTGCTGGGTGCTTTCAATCTGGTAGTGGATTGTCTTTCACGTTCAAACCGAATCTATTCCACAGAGTGGTCATTAGGTCCTTTACCTTCTATCAAGTTCTCCTTAATTAGATGCATTTGCTATGGGACTCAATACAAAGTTGCTCCTCTTTTGGTCCACTGTCCTGCATCCGCAGGCTCTGGCTGTCGATGCCTTCAGCCAGGATTGGTCTACCAAATACCTTTGTGTGTGTACCCTCCCATTCGTTTGCTTCATTGGTTGATTTTTCTGGTACACTCGTCTCCTTGTCAGGTCCACCTGATTGCACCCCATTGGCCAGCACTACTCTGGTTTCTGAAGCTCCAATGTCTACTCCTCTTACCATCCATTTCTCTTCCACTGTTTCCCTCTCTTCTGCATCAGCCTTGATCCTACACTCTTTATCCCAGTCTCCCTGTCCTGTGTCTTCACTCCTAGCTTTTGTCCGATCCATGGCGAGGAGATCCAGCTTCATGCATTGAATTGCCTCCCAGTTAGCTCTTACCATTGGTCCATCTTCTATGGAATTTTAACAGTGCAAGTGGAAGGTTTTCCACTGTTGGTTTGGTGGCAGGAGATTTCCTGCTGCCAAGTCTTAGGTGGCTCGGGTGGTGGAATTTCTCAATTGGATCTTCAACCATGGGTTTTTGATCTCTTTGATTTCTGGATATAGGGCAGCTCTTTCCAATACCTTCCATTTCTTCAGATACTGTAGGGTTTTTACTTCCCCTGTCTCACTATGCACATGTGTTCCTTCCATATTCAGAGGCCTCCCAGGCATCCTCCCCTTCTGGATTGGGACATTAATGTGGTCCTCCATGCCCTGACTCTCCCTCCATTTGAACCACTTTCCTCCTGTTCCTTGTTTCATTTGTCCCTTAAGACCTATTTCCTTTTCCTTTTGGCCTACGGATGTTACTGATCTGATTTATTTGCCATTGATGTTTCATGTACCCTTTATCATCCTACATATCTTCTCCTTTATCCTGATCATTCCTTTCTCCCCAAGACCATGGCAGCTTAAGAAAGTTGTACCTCCTTTTCTCCTATTTCCCTACCTTCTATCTCCCATCTTCACCCTCATCCAGACCCTGTTAGACTGCTATGTTTCATCAGGGCCCTACTGTGTTATATTGCACATACATCTACTCTCCAGTGTATGCACAACCGTGATTTTCATTCCCTGTCAATTCTCCTCCCTTCGTGATCTTTCCCTTTCTATCCTTACAAATTGGGTCCTCCTTCTGTTCCATTTGGCCTACTCCTCTTTCCTTTCTTCATCTTGTACGTTGTTCTATGTGTCCTTCCATCAAATTCATCATCTCACATTTTCCCTTGCTTCCTGTCCTCATCATCCATTGGAGGAGATTCTTCAAGCTGGCATGTGGACCATGCCCAGTACATTCTTCTCCAGTTATCTTCATCACATCATGCTTTCTTCACATCAGAGTTTCATCTTCCATCTGTGGCCATGCTCCAGACTTTGGTGTGACTTTAACTGGTAAGTTTTATTCCTTTTCCTCTTTTTCAGGGCCTTTCTTTATTCCCTCTTTTTCACATAGATCCCACTCTGTAGCAAGTGGTGCCTGATCAAGTATTCTTTAACTTAAAATCTGCACTGTTAATCATGTTGAATCATGCTTTCTTGTCCATGGCTCCACACGGTCACCGTAGAGATGGGATATTTCACAGGATTGCTGGAAGGTTATCAATCTCGCGATAGTTGCTTCATAAGTATGTCTGTTCTGGACTGTACCACTCATGGACGGCATCGGTAAAGCAGAAGGAGATAGCTGCTCATCCTTGCCATGTTTTGAGTGAATAACTCGGTATGGTCTGCTTTTCAAAATGGGTATCATGGTCACCTGTTGCACTGTTTTCAGTGATGACATACCTGCAGACTCTCAAATGCATTCTCACCCCCTTCTGTGAGTGGAGTATGGGAGTTATTGCCACTTTACAGTTCCAAACTGCTGTGATGGTCCCACTAAGAAGTTGGCTATATCCATTCAGTTGAGAGTAGGGTGGTGGTATTTTGCTGGTGTAGATGCAACGTGGCCTCCACAGGAGTTGCTGATGGACGTGGCATCCTGATACTATTTACACTGTCACAGGAATGGATCCGTCACCTTCCTGGATAACGTGGCCTCCTTATACTATTTATATATTCAACAATATTCACAACCACTTGAGTTGATCCGTCACTTTACAAGTTGTCCTGGCCTCCTTATACTATTTACACTAATGTGGAATTGATCTGTCACACATACAGTTCACCCCTATTGATTGGGAGCTCTCATCCTATCTTTGCATGTATGTTAGTTCCCAGCATTGAGGTGTTGGATTCGAGTGAACCAATCAACATAAGTCCTTGCACAAGTCCTCTCAATGCCAGATGGCCAGTTCTGGATTGCTGTAGGGTGTTGATCCTTGTGTAGTACCCAGGAATTGGAGTAGATCTTAATCCCCAATTCTTGGGTTGGAGGTGAAGATGGTATGATCCTCATTCTACCCTTGCATGGATGTCGGTACCCCATAGAGGAGGTTTTGGATGTAGTTGACTTGCTGAGTACTGTCCGACACACCCTAGCCACTTTACACCTTGCAATTTCTGCCTGTGTGTTTTACTAATTATACACAAGAATTAGAATATACTTGTCTCAAAAGTGGTGCAGTTACCTTTCTCTGATCTCAGAATCTCTTTCTTTCATGGCCAGGGGTATCCTTTGGATGATTTCAGGGGTGCTTCTGTTATTCCCATGCACTGGTCCCTCCTTCTTCTCAGTGTGGGGGTTCTAGCTAATCTTGTGAGAGGTGGTAAGTACTGTATCGGAAGTTATAATTTTCCTATACTGAAAATGTATTTCCGATAGGTACTTACCTCCCCTCACACTTCTCCAGTGTTCATACTTCCTGCCAAACTTCGAAGTGAAGGTTTGGTAGAGGAATTTAGAGTGAGTCATGAGCATCATGTGAACATACTATGCTACTATTGATTAATAGATGATTTGCATGAGAGACACTTTGGAATGTACTAATTCCAACAAGGGGGAGAGTGCAAGGCTTGTGGCATGCATAAAAAAAAATGTTCACGTATAGAGGGCAGTACTGAATGAGAATAGGTAATCTTGTGAGAGGAGGTAAGTACCTATCGGAAATTAATTTTCAGTTTAGGCAAATTATAACATTACTGACACAAGTACTATACAAGTGTGTATAGTTCTGTTGTAAGATTCTTTAATTTTTCTAAAGCCACTCTAAAACTCAGCCTAATGAAACTGAGCTGCACTAAAACTTAATATAATGTAACAAAGCTACACTAAAACTCAGTGTAATGTAACTAAGCCACAGACAATACTATGTTTGACAAACCTCATTTCATGCATAAAAATATATATATATAAATGATAAACAGAATGACTGAATTTTTGGATGGAAAAAAAGAGCAAAAGTTACTTGGTGAAATTAGTGCAAAACACGTGCCTTCATTAGAAGGTTACTGCATTTAATTAAATATTCCAGGAGACACACAAGTTATTCATTTCACAAAAGCCAGCAATTAGTAATTGCTGCAAGTCTATTTACAATGTGTTGGATTGTTTGTTTCTTTTCATTACTGTGTGAAGCATTCTAGAGAAATTTATAGAATCCAATAAAAGAAGAATTAAATAAACTTGTTTTTGCATCATCAGTAGATTAACTTCATTGACTAAAATGTCTTAAATAATTAAATTGTCTTGTTTTTTGTGAAGCCCTGAGAAACCTTTTTTTTTTAATAGACACACTTGTGTCATTTCAACTCAAAAGAATATCTTCTGAAAGTGCTGGACAATTAAAAATCACTACGCTGATATTGATACCTAATTTATGACAACTTAAAAGCCTCAATATATGATTTGCTAAATCATGAGTATATTACACACATATACATAAAATAGTAATTTTTTTATCTATTTTTACAGCTTCATCTTCCAGAAGGAATATCCTCAGATGTTATTTTGTCCAGCATGGTCACTGCTGGTCACTTTTTCTTGCAGCAGCCAACACACCCATCATATCCCTCTTTGAGTCAGCTGGACCAATGTATGGCAACATGTTATACACAGGGGGACACACCCCTTCTTCCCCAGCCTGTAGAAGGTATGACATATCTACTGATTCATAGTTGTATTAGTAAGAGCAGATTGGTAGAAAGAATAACATAGTGTAAAGGATTACTTTTATAGCATCAATAGCAAATTTGCAAAAAGCCAGACATAAAGGCTGACTTTTCTTAGAGAAATAGATTTATTGAAAATGGGACATAGTATAAAAGTTGACTTTCATAAGATAAGTTGCAGATCTATGGAAAATAGAATGTAGTGTAGAGATGAGATTTGATTTACCATTAGGTGTTTAGTAGGGTGAAAATAGTTAAATGTTGATGACTAATGACAACAGGTTTTGGAAGTGGGATGTGGTCTTTTGGTTACTAATTGTAATTAGAGCTGGATGGTTAACTTGATTAATCACTATAATCAATTATCTCTAAGCATCAATTAAATCAATTATTATCACGGAAATAACTAATTAAAATGTGTTTTCAATTATTACTATTTTTGATTATTCCAACTACCCATGTAAGTGTTATGTGATTTAAATGTAATTGGTTAATGAGTCCAATAATTAATTGAATAAGAAATTCCACTATTTACTCAGATCTAATTGTAACAGACTTGTAGCATATTCCTTACTGTTTGTAATTCATGTAGTGAAAATAAGAAAGATTCTGGATTTGAAGTAATATTTATATCTATCTATATTCTTTATGAACTTGAAGCAGGTGTAATTTGTGCTGCTCCCATGATGGGGGGATGGTATAGAGCCCAGCTGGTTTATATGTATGAAGACACTGAAGAATGTGACATTAAGTATGTTGATTATGGTGGATACTCTAAAGTATCCGTGTCATCTCTCAGGCAAATAAGGTAACATAAATTTAATAATTTGTTATAGTTATTCACAAAGTAATCAGTAAATGTTAATTAAGCATGATTTTCTGCATTGACATAGAAATTGTATTGGGGTGTGGCCTAGTGATTAAAATGCTGAACCATGAATCTGAATCTCTGTGGTTCATGTCCCATTGCTGTAAAGATGTGCTTTGCATTTTGGGACTGTGGTTATGTTATAAGAATGTATGTTAAATCCCACTGATTAAGAGCAGCCCAAGAGTTTACAAAGGGTACTGTTGGCTAAGCTGTAGTCTATCAGTTTAAAATTAGGGAGGGCTAGTGTAACTCTGGGCAAATTTCAGAAACAACCAACCATCACAGAATTAAAAAAAATGATATCACTTAGTTGATAAGTTCTGTCCGGATTTTAAATAAAGAAAACGAGTGATCAAGTCTTACATTTTATTGAAATTTAATCATCAGTGTAGTTTCCCTGATTATCTATGACTTCTTTCCATCTACTTACAAGCTTTTTAATCCCACTACTAAAAAAATCTTTCGGTTTCGAAGAGAAGAACTCTGAAATGTCAGTTTTGACCTCCTCATGGCTTGTGTGAGTTAATCCATCCAAATGATTCTGTAAACTACGGAACAAATGGTAGTCTGAAGGAGCAAGGTTGGGAGAATAAGGCGGATGAGGAATTTTCTCCCAACCAAGTTCTTCAATCTTCTGGAACGTGATTTTTGCAGTGTGGGGTCGTGCATTGTCCTGATGAAACACCACTCCTCTTCGATTCACTAAAACGGGTCTTTTTTTCTTTAAAGCCGTTTTCAAACGCTCTAATTGCTGACAGTAGAATTGAGCATTGATTGTTGCATTAGTTGGCAGCAACTCAAAGTGAATAATTCCTTTACAATCCCACCAGATAGAGAGAAATGAAATTCCATTTTCGGTTGTGGTTGGGCCTTTTCCCCATTACTAAGCCACTGCCTGCAACATTTAATATTTTTATAAAAAATCCATTTTTCATCACCAGGCACAAATTTATCCAAAAAGGGCGAGATAAGGTCACTAGAATGAAGAGAAGGGCAGATCTCAACTCACGATTTGCGGTTCACTTCAGACAATTCATAAGGCACCCGTTTTCCAAGTTTAGGAACCTTTCCAAGTTGTTGAAGATGACGATGAACAGTTGTATGGTTTGAACCAAGCTTCATTGCCAATTCTTCAACTGATACTGCAGGATTTTCTTCAAGTGATGCCACAAGGAGCATATCATCAAACTCAACTGGACGTCCTGTTCCGTCTTCATCTTCAAGGCTGAAATTTCCACTTCTGAATTTTGCAAACCATCTTCTGCAAATTTTTTCATTCAGGCATTCTTCTCCATAAGCTGAGTGAATATTTCGAGTCGCTTAGGCTGCAGAGTTCCCTTTTTTAAAGTCATAAAGCAGTATATGACTCAAATGCTCCTTAGATACTTCCATGTTCAAAGGGCTTTAATCAGTGAAATTTGAAATACTTTATTCTGTAAAATAAAATTTAATAAGTTTAAATATGCCCAAATACATATGTATGATATTTTTATTTCCATTAAACATTCTAAATTACTAGTAAATTTCAAAGAATTAAAATCCGGACAGAACTTATGGGATGACCTGATATATGCAAGTATTTGTATAAAAACCATCAGAAAGATCCCATAATCAGTAATTTATTTTCTTTTATTTACTAGGAGTGACTTCATGATATTGCCTTTCCAAGCATCTGAGTGTTACTTGGCAAATGTGAAACCTAAAAATGGTGAATGTTTTTATATGTTTTTCTCTGAACAGTGAACATTTCCTAACCTTAAAGAGACTGAAAATGCAGGCTGTTATTTCTTGTAGTGCTTATTTCAAAACCTTGATCAAACTAATTGAAATTAAACTACTGTTATTTTTTGAAAACAATAGTGTATCAAATATTTTTTAAAACTTTTGATTTTTCACAAGTTTGTACATTTCAAATCATTATTTTTTCCTTTAATGTGTACAGCATTTCAATACCTTCAGGATTTGGGGTTATTGTGGCTGAGATTTAGATATTATGTATGTTTTTTTTATTTTTTATAACTGGTATAGTTGTTTGATGTCAATTACACATATCTTTCAGCTGTTATGGTTTCCTGAATTATAATTTAACTTTAATTTAAATTTAAATTTAACTTTCTAAACATAAGTTAATTTTCATTACAAGGTGATTTTTTTAAAATTGTGTTGTCATGAAAAATAGTTTTATGAATTATGATATCTTGTCCTAGAGGATAGATAAAGTAGAATGACAGTGTTAGTACTGAGCAATGATTAACCAAAATCTGAAAAACACTAAAATCCAGAGTAATGTACTACTGTAAACATTGTAAGGTTGATTGTTTCCAAAAAGGAATTGTATTGTAGTTATGCATTCATGCTAATATTGCATCAATTCTTATAATTAATGGAATATTTTAATAATTAAAATGTTTGAAGATGAATTATTGTATGGATTTCAGTTTCATAATTTCAAAAATAATTAGATTGTGATTTATCTTTCTGGATACAAGAGGAAACTCTGTAACAATACATTAACTTGTGAAATATTTCAAGAACTAAAATGCCTATGGACTTTAGGGTTCATAATTCCCAAAAATAATGAGATGAAGGTTGTACTTGTCAGTCTAGTCATTTGGGGAAACTCTGCAGTAAGAAGTTGATTAAGGCTCATAAAAGCTAATTTTCAGTTAAATTCTGATTTCTTCCCCAATAAGAGAAGCTTTACACTAGACTTAATATTACTTTTATATAGAGGGTTGAGTATATTATATTAAAACGTATTTGAATATTCAAATCAGCAAGTGATATGAAAACCACAGCTAATGTAGAATTGCACTGGAAATGAATGTTTGTGAACTACATTTTGACATTGTTTGGCATTTTGTAGGTTATGTGATGCCATTGAAAACTGATCACTTTTGAGAAGGGAATGTAACAGTCCTTTCTCATGTAAAACATTCATACATGCAGATCATAAAGATGAGTTTAAATCAAGGTCTAAAATGCAACAAGTCATACCAAGTTGTGTTTAGCAGGGTATGGTGTTTTGTAACAGGTGAGAATCCACAAACTGAAAAAGCCATCTACATGTTTAAAGCAACATTATGCAACATGATAAAGAAGGATCTCCTTCTGGAAAAGCAACACAAGTCACATGTAAGCAAGTTGCTTCTACAACGTATCCGTTCAACTGTTGTATACCTGAAGCAGTTGGAGAGTGAAATGGAGATGTTGAATATAGCTCCTGGGTTTCTGTGTGATTAGTTTCTTGAAACTAGTGCTGGGAAGTCATTGCCTTGTACACAAAGTTGCAGTAAGGAGGGGTGTGCTTTAAACATGTCAGCTTGATGATGGAATCTTTTGGCACTGAAAACATACACTGCAAAGCTATTGTCAAGATGTGCGTTCCTCAGACAGAGTTTGACCTGGTGTGGGAACATGGACTTTTACAATGTGGTGAGGCTCCAAAATGATTTTAATATACCTTACTCAACCTCTGTATTTATAGAAAGACTTAGGGGTTAGTATTTATTCACTTTTTAAACAGATTATTATAGTACAATATTAAACAGAGGTCATTGTAATAATCAATTGATTTTGTTTCATAAATTAAAGATGAAGCAGTGTGGTCTTTAGAAGCATGTGCTGCATTTGAAGAATTAGCACAAGGGCAGGTTCTACGGGCTTTAGTGGTAGCTTATGCTGAAGATGGTATTCCCTATGTACACTTGTACAGAGTCCAAGGAGTTTCAGTAAGTCTTTCTTATTCACTAGATAGATGTTACCTTAATAATTTCTTAATCTGATTTAATCAAAACCTTATTAAGCCCAAGTTATATGTAATTCACCAGAAGGAGAACCTTGATGTACACTTATGTTAACTACACTGGAATAGAAATTCCAGAATGTTTAAGCTTGTGTATACTTTTAAACATGTATATTCAAATGTTTTTGAAAACATTTTACCCTTTCCAGACAGGTCACAGATGAAAGGGCCATGTCATCACTTTTGTTGACTCGCATTCAAAATTTTATTGAACTACTATTTCGTGAATTTATGTCAATAAGTGTGGTATCAAACTGTAGATTATAATTCAAATTTTAGTTTTCTACCTTACTCAATTTCTTAATTTGAAAATAAATAAAAAATACACAGTTAAACATAGATTTTATTTGTGTCATGGTATGTTGGATGCAGCACTGGTTCAAGTTAGATATTTGTGATGTCAAAATACCAAGTCTGTAGTTTTGTACAAATTAGGCATTTAAATTACCGATATTGACAAACTATAATATAAAATAGCCTCTTATCTTTTCAATTTGCTAATATATTGCTCATGTAATAAATCAAACACAGTGGTACCCTGCTCCACCTCTTTCCATTTTTGGAACATTCCCTTATATATACATAGTTCTATATATGACATGAATAACCAATTAGAAGCTCAGAATGTCCCCCTAGTGGTTTTCTCAGCCATTTTAACATGTTTGGATGCCATTTCTTTCTTTCGAACCAATTTTTCAAGGAGAAAGGTTGTGTTTTTAGTCTGCTCAAAATTTCATATTATATCAGACTGAAATACAGCTTAGTTAATAAGCTTGATAAATTATAGTGGAATTCTATGGTGTTGATGTAGTAATTTATTATTTTTTGGTTATTCAACTGTATATATATAAAACCTGAAAAAAATTATTTTGTTTCGTATCCTCCATGTGCAAAATTTTAATAAGCTTAGCAACCAATGTCAAGCAGCAACCGAGTACAAAGGTCATAACTAGAAGAGATAATTGTGTGCTTCTTTATTTACTGTCCTATATTTTAAGAAAAATAAGTTTAAGAACTTATTTCTAAATACTAATAATCTATATACATATATGATGAATAATAATTGAAATGTGACTGTATTGTGACTAAAGGTCAGTTTTATATTATTGGATATGGTAACATGAGTGCACGTGAGCCACGTCATTGTAACTTCTGTATTGTTAGCCAAGCACGGCTAAAAGGTCAGTATGATAAAAATAATAAATATATATAAATGTATAATGTTATGAGATTTTAACTATTTAGTCTAAACATTTATGTTTTCGTGTTAAAAGTTTTAGTAATTCTAGAACGAAAAAGGCATAATTTATATTTCTTTCTTTAATATGGTTATGAGATTGGTCAAATAGACCAAACCCATACAGAGATTCGTTACAGAGAATACCAGATAAAATATATAGTTTTTTTCCTTAGAAAGGTTTGATAACTATCTGGACATTATAAAGATTTTGCATGAGAATTTGAAAATTTTCTGATGCACAAAGTATTTTTAATCTTAAAATGAAAATTACTTTGCTGTTGGATAGGCAACATGCGAAAAGAAAAAAAAAGGCATGGGAAAACATTGCTTTACAAACGTTAAGACTTAATTAAAAAATGTGATGTTTTGCATATGAAAGCATTGTAATGTTTACTGATAATCTGCTAAATTTTGTTAACATATGCTTCCTAATTTAAGTTATAGCATGAAAACTATGACAAGCACAAAATAGTTATGAGGTCAGTCCCAGGGACCGAGCCCCTGCTGAAAGAGTTAATATTTGTTGTTCTTGTTAGGTATTTATTACATTTTCATGCCATTAAGTGAGATATTCTTTGTTATGTATATGGTTTTAAAACTTTGCTTCTTTTAACATTTATTAAATTGAGTTGATAAATTGTGACCTACTTTGTTTTTCCATTTCAGACATTGTTTATCAACCGGGAACTGGTAAAACGAGGAGCAGCAGAGTGGATTGAACATGAGGGTTAATTCAGTTTTCCCTGTGCTATTTTTACTATCTTTTGTGTGTATCGTGCCATTAAACATAACAGGTGCAGCTTCTGTTTCCTCCTTATCCATCCATATATTGTACTCTTTTTCCGAAAGCGGTTCAGGTTGAAATGTGAAGAATTTTGTTAGTTTTTTTCTCTTCCTTAATGTGTGTGTTATATTAAATTATGTGTGAAAGTTTTGTTCTCGATAATGTATTCTAATAGTATAGATATTTTTTTTTTCAAGCCAGTGTGTGTCGCTTGTTCATCATTTATCAGATGTCACTTCATAATGGTGTTTGGTTTAGGTTGCTAAAATTACAAAAAAGCAGTTGTTTGTGTTCCCACTTGAGAAGTAAAAATATATTAGTGTATTAATGATAGCATTTAGAGTATTAGCTATAGAACCCCGTGTTGTGCAGTTTTCCCATGGGAAAGGCTGAAAAAATTATCAAGATTTCAGCACTTATAAATGTTTGTTATTAGTTTGCATATTAAATGCTACTATGTAGGAAATAAAGTAACTTCTTATTGTATTTTTCATTGCCATTGTTAATAGTAAATGATAAGGACTTTGTTCTTTTCCCAGTTGTCACATATATTGTTGGTTTGAATATGCGATATCATGTTCTATACACTTTCCTATTGTGTCTTGTACCGTAGTACTTTATATAATGTCATTATATTTTGATGAAACCACAAACTCAACACAACATACAAAAATTCAGGGGAAAACTTGCAAAATGAGAATGTAAAACCTGTAAACGTGTTTTATGTCCAAGGCTCCTAATATTTCTAAAGGGTAGATGTAATTAAGTTATAAGTTTCTTAATAAGAGCTTTATTTCTGCATTTGATGTTTTCGGAAGTGGTTTTATCACTCTAAATACCAAGTAGTTAATTGTAGATTTATAGAGAAATACAAAATAAAAGAAGCACCAATAATTAAAAATATGTAAATTCTAATTAGATAAATAATATTAATTAATAAATAGAAAACAACCTGAACAAACATGTAATATTTTTAAAATTATTATCTTTTGTATTACTACTACTATATGACTGATAAAACTTCAGGAAATCCAGGATGTTGCCTAAGTTGTTGAAGTATCAAACTTGCATACACATTTCTCTCGAAATAATTCCTCAACACTTCAGTGACTCCAAAACTACACAAACTTTTGTTAATAAAATACCATTTCTGTTTATTTTGTAAAGAATTTTAAATTTATTTCATTCATATTTTATTGTTTATTATACTGTCATTACATGCAAGTTGAAATTAACTTTACTATAATTAGCAGATTCTCAAATTGAAAGGCCTATGGCTTTCAAACTAGAGTAAGTTATTTTTTTTATAGTTTCTTTTATCCTACTGTTGACTAGTTAAATTGTAGATATCTTTTCTATGTGTGAGCTGTAACACTCAAGTATACAAAGCAGTGGAATTATATTATATATATATATACTTTTTTCTTGGTATTGTCTGTATGGCTGCTTGTACATGTATATAAGGCAGTGTTTTGTGATGTCATTAATTCTTCAAAATAACAGCAGTGTCAGTTTCAACTGATAAAATACAATATATTCTATAAATTTTTTTCTTCAGATAATATTTGTTCTTAAGTCATTGATCAGTAATAGATTTTACATTAACTTTCATAATTCAGATTTCTTTGCTTGAATTACTCATTTTGTAAGCTTGGATAATGATAATGAGTAAGTAAACATTAGAAATTGATGATTTTAAGATATACTGTGTATACACTAAAAATTGTTCAGGTTTAGGACATTTTTCAGGTCAGTTAACTGTTTTCATTAGTAAAATAAATTTACAAAAATAATTAGCTGTTTCTAATATGCTTGTAGTTTAAACAGATAAATAGGTTCAGGTTGAAATATAAAATTAAGAATATTTAGTATTAAAAATACTTAGATATTTTTAAGACTTGCTGCATTTATAGACAATTTGACAAATGGTATAATTGTTTAATCTTGTGCCTTTATGAACTGTATTGAATTTGTTTTTCTGTTATGATTGTATATTCTTAAATTCAAGCTTGTATGTTGCTATGTACAAGAACTGTTTAGTGCACAGTATCTTGTAATGAGCTATTAGTACATCTTCCTTGTATAAAGTTTTGCAAGAGCTAAATAGTAAATAAAGATATTTTCTTCCATTTTCATTTTTTAATATGAGTAATATCACGAATTTGTATGAATGGTTTATCGCATAGTAATTTTCAAAATTAAATATTTTCAATTCAGGTAAAAATAAAAACCAGTTCCTGGTCTGAATATTTATATTTTAAAAGTTATGATGAAGAGGTATATGTGAACAAATGCATTTTTAAGGTTTTTGAAAATGTAAAAGAAAGAACAGAGAAAGACATAAAGTTAAATTTCATTGTGATTAATATTTTTCTGTGGAAAGAAATTTATTATAAGGGTTTCACCTAGAACTGATATTGAGTAAGTAATGAAGTGCATTGTTTACTGTGTGCTAATAGTTACTACTAAAGTAAAACTTATAAAGTACAAGAAACATTTGAGAAAAATCAACTGCAAAAATTCTGAAAACTAATTTGTTAGGCTTAGTGGAGAATATGAGACTTATTTTATTTAATAGCAATTTTTTTCTGTTGAGTAATTCTATATACAACTATACAACAAGATTATCTTGACAAAATTAAGGAAACAGCTTAAAAATTTACTTTTCATGTATTTCAACTTTTATGCTTTTCTAACTTGCACTAGAGTACATGTTCTGCAAATCATAGTTAAGTTTTAGCTAAAGTCAGTGTATTTTTTTTAACTTAGTTAATTACACATTTACAAAAGTGATTTGTTTTAATCCAATCATTCTCTGTTTTCAAGACATTTATTTATATAAATATGTTTAAAACTCAAAAATCTAATATAATTTAAGTAATATAATATGTTTTTTATAACCAGTGGTGACTGTTCCTGTATATCAATCTGTAGAATCAATTTAATGTATGTTTCTGGTTAAAAAAAACAGTATTACGGTATAATCTAAAATTTAGTATACTTAAGGTATGTTTGTACAGAACACCATTTTTAAGTTAAATAATGTATTCATTTGAAAAAATAGAAAAACATAGATATTATGTGTAGAAAAAAAATCCAGTATTATTATATTTATTGTTAAGTTCTTAAAATGTTTATTTTTTTTTGGTGGGGAGGGGGGGGGTGAAGTGGTTTTTAATACTAATGAGCTCAAAAGTGTGTGAGACTTTAGAACTAATATTTTTTGAAAATGTTTATTTAGTGTGAACAATGTACTGAGAGTTTAAAATACACAGTGTGAAATTGTGGGATGTTTATTCTTTTAAATGGAAATTAATAAAATAAATTAAGCTAATGATATGTAAGGTGAGTTCAGGACTGATATTTTTTTAAGACGTTTATTAAGTGTGAACACTAGCAGAGAATTTAAAATACATAAAGTGTAAAATTGCAGAAATTGTGGAATGTTTATTCTTTTAAAATGGAAATTAATAAAATAAATTAAGCTAATGATGTGTAAGGTGAGTTCAAGACTGATATTTTTTAAGACGTTTATTAAGTGTGAACACTAGCAGAGAATTTAAAATACATAAAGTGTAAAATTGCAGAAATTGTGGAGTGTTTATTCTTTTAAAATGGAAATTAATAGAATAAATTGAGCTAAACTGATGCTGTGATATATAGGGTATTGGTTTGTTTTATACTATACTTCAAAAGATATATTTACATCACCATTTTTTTTATTTTAATTTTTTTGCAAAATTACTATTTCTCAATTTGTTTTTTACCATTACAGCTCTTTGTATGTTAATAAATAAAAACTAGTACTATACAGTCTTGTTGATAATTTACTTATTTTATGGATCACCATAGTTTATAATAGCTTTTTGTCGGTAAGGTTTAAAATAATTAAAAAAATAGAATTGATATATTTTTGTTATTTTACGTAAAACGTTCTACTTAACATTTTATTTAAGTTGTTTTTTGTTTGCAAAGAATTATATTCACAGGGTCGATTTTTTCATCTTTGTTCTACTGTATTAAGGATTTCAATCTATACCTACTATTTTTCCGTATAAGGGGAACAGCCAAGTTATATTGTGTAACTTGTTTACTTGAGCACTTTTCTGTTTTATCATTGGGAATACTTTTTAACGTAAAGTTATTGTGTTGGAATAATAACAGTAAAACAGGACAGAATGCCCAATCGAAGTAAGTATGAACAATGGACCAGTAAGTTCCATAGTTTAGAGTTGGACGCGTATTTGCACGTTGTGGATTACGTCCGCTGATGAGAACCTATATAGCTGTTGTGTTCCACTCATATATATCGTCACAAAAATATAAACCTACTAAATGTAAGTTATTTCAATTCTAATTGATTAAATATTTTGAGGAAAAAGGTTAAGTAACACTAAATTTCTAAACGATACATTAATATTTCGCAAGTTTTGTTTAATTTTTTATGTTCGTTAATATCAGTTGTGTTGATTTTCTGAATTTTCGACTTGAATTATTGAATTTTTAAAAAAACTATTACCATGAAATTTGTAACATTGGAAAGACTAAAAGTGTCCGATTTATTTGTGTATTTTCCTTTAACATTTTAATCTTGTAAAAAAAAGTGTTTAAACTGTAATAGTAAAGTGATTAACAAACACAAATATACAAAAGATGAATTTCTGCCTGAGGACTGCCCTAAATCCACTTGAACAAACGCATACACACACAAAAAAAGATGTCTTTCTGTTTGGTTGTACTCCTATATAGCAGTTTGGACATTCTTCTTCTTAACTTCTCGAATATGACTGTATAAAGGGGTGCTGTACAAGGGCTCAAGAAATATTTCCAAGTTATGTTATCTCTGCCAAAAATTCATATAACAGCCTAATCAGGGGAATCTACTTAGTACTTGTGTGCGTCTTTTATTCTAGTAATTTTGCACAAGATAGGATTGTCCCTGGGACGTAAACTGCCTTATAAATAGCGTCTTGGTACAATTTTAGAAGTACACTCGGTACAAGTTTTACCATAATCGAGCAAAGTCAAAAAACAGGCTACGTTTTTATGTGGTGGCACCACTAGCATGTCTGTCTAAAATTACCTAATTTTGATCTCACTACACAATTAGCACAGTCCGTTAATTCTCAAAATATCGAACCAGGCATTAGAAATTAGCTCTACCACTTTTGTTTTTTCCTCGGCTTAGATTCAATCCTAAGATGCCTCTCACTCTAATATGGTGCATTTTAAACAACTAATTCAAACTAACACATTATCCTATTATCATAAACAGTTTATCTTGTGGGAATTTTTTCATTTCTACAGTCGTATTTAAATCCGAGACCTTTCGTACACCTGGCGAGTGCTCTACTAACTGAGCTAAATTGTTAATGCATTAACACTTTCTAGTATGACACTAACAGCTCAAACTACGACACAATTGTAATGCTCATGAGACTGTATCAGATACCTACCTTTTCGTTTGTAGCGATCGCTAGTCTGAAATATAGATATATATCGCTACAAATATACTAGTATATAGAGTATACCAGCAATCCAGTAATAAACTTCTTAATAACTTGCTAAGAGCATACACATACTCTGTCGTGTGCATTGAATCAAGAGCTCGGACAATGAATTTCTGAATACTGCCCAACCGTGTATCCCATTATCACCAATTTATATGGGGTAATGTTAACAATTAACAGGGACGTAGGCAAACCTATATTTAGGGGCTGTTACTTTTGGAAGGAAAAATGCATAAGTGGCAAAGCCGTACTGGGTTTTAGAGTGGTGCCTTCTCGGAAAATCTGTGACTTTCACTAAAACAGTGCATTGTTATGGTATCTGGGGCTGTTTCAAACCTTTTAAATATGTTTTGTACATAAATTGGTGCAATTTAGGTGTTGATATCCTCCTCTTGCCTATGCGCATACTTAACCTATTTTAATTATGGTTTGGTTCCGAAAATCGTATTTCGAGATTATCACCGGCCGCTTTAATTTGTGCAGTCTACTTACTGCCCATTTGTGTGAAAAATATATATTTTTACTTTGACGTGCGCAGATTGGTCAACATAATTGATATTACAGTTTACTCGGTGGCCGCATGTGTGTGTGTTCTATACTAGCGGAAAAAAGAAACTGTGCATCACTTAAAATATGAAAAAATCAAGAAAAATCTAACAAATAGAATTTTAATTTTGCAGTATTGTTAACAGATGCATTGGTTACAAAATTTCATAGTCAATTAATGCTAACGTCACCAAACGTAGTTTTTAGGGCGTTTGAATGACGCTGGTATTCAAAAGGAAACTTACGGGGCTAATATCGCGTGTGTCCACCATTTACATCCACACATGCTTGACAACAGCGTCTCATTGATGATACTAAATTGTTCAAAAAGGCCTATGGAATGTTATTCCAGATGTTGGTTAATGCCGTGCCCAGATCTGCCAACGTTACTGGCTGATTTGGTAGACGACGTAAACGCTTTTCCATTTCATCGATTCCGGACATTTCATGCTTGTTGGAGTGGATGGTGTTACGATGGACTCCGAAACGTCTTGCAACAACATTCTGTGCCACACCAGCCTGCAGCATTCCGACTGCACGAAGACGTTCATCTTCATTGAGCCTTGGCATCACAGAAGGGTAATTCTCGGTGAAACAAAGAGTGGATGGTGTTCCGATGGACTCCGAAACGTCTTGCAACAACGTTCTGTGCCACACCAGCCTGCAGCATTCCGACTGCGCGAAGACGTTCATCTTCACTGAGCCTTAGCATCACAGAAGGGTAATTCTCGGTGAAACAAAAATTATTTCCTGAATGACTGGAGCCCGAATAAACGCTTTACACCTGTTTATCCAGAAAACATTGTCAAAGAAAAATCGTGGGTACGAAATTTGAATAAACAAAAAGGTGTTCACGAATCGTGAAAAATCCCATGCAACCGAGTCGAGTACTACCCGATATGTTCAACGATATATCCTGAATTGATTTTTTATATGCCATAACATTAACCTAATGTATATGAACCCCTCCTCAGCCTATAACTTTAGCATGGTGATTGAAAAGCAATTCTGTAGTAAAAACAATAACATCTCCTTTCGACGAACTGTATCATTTAATCAATTCAGCATAATTTTTATCG